GGATGCACTGTTTAGAGAGACTGAGTTGATATTCATTCTTTGCTAAGACAACAAGGTCATCAGCATAGGCAAGAACCGAGATTTCGCGACGAGTGGTGTTTTACGGGACCCAATTGATGGTTTTAGAAGTAATACTCAGAATTATTTCGATGCAGAGATTGAATAAGATCGCCAGAGGGGCAGCCTTGTTTGACTCCAGCGAGGATCGGGATAGGTTTTGTGTTCCCATCGACGTGGATGATTGTGGTTGTATGCCCTTGTAGATGCTTATGATAAGTTCCACAAGTGAGTTAGGGACGCCAAGATGTTTCAGGGTTGTAGATATTACGCTGTGTGGTACACTTCCAAAAGCATTCTTGAGGTCAAGCCTGCCAGGTAGATGTTCTTCTGGTGCCGTTTTGCATCAAGAATGAGAGATTGAAGGATGAATGTGTGTTCAGCACCCTTCGTTTGGTCTAGCACTTTTGTGAGTCAGATAGGAGACCGTTGTCGATGGAGAATGAGACCAATCTGATGCAATTATGCTCGTAAGGAGTTTGTAGACGAGCTCATCAGAGCAATCAAGTTAGAGACACAACTTGCATCACCCTTTTGTGTATTAATATGGTATTGGACTCTTCCATTGCGCAGGGATGTTGCGATCAGTGAGACATCGGTTGAAGATTTTAGCGAGGATCTCCCTTTGGGGTCTATTGATCTTAGGTGCTTGTACTGTATTTTGTCTGAACCCGGGGAAGAGTTAGACATGGTCTTAAGTTTTTTAGCTACCTCATCGGGTGATATCAGTGAGTCGAGGTTGTGGCCACATTCTATCTGGGGGACAAGCTCAGTTAGCAGATTAGATAGGGCATCCGACGCACGATTTATCGTCAAATACTTCAGTGAAGAATTGTTCGCCTCAGTAACGGTGCCAGAATATGTAGGGCTGTGTTATCAAGAATTGAGCGGGCAGCCTTCTTAGAGAGTTTGTACATGGTTTGAATTTGCTTTTATTTGGTCGAATGCGATAGATCTTCTGTTAATGTTTACTCTTTGGCAGACGGACGATTTGGCGGCTTTGGGGCCTTTATATTGTTCTTATTAGGGTTGGTGACGTAATAATTTCTTCAGTGAATTTAGTAATCAGGAGGAAAATCCTCCCACGTTGTTGTGGAGGAGAAGTGAGCGATCCATTTTTCGTGAAAGGCAGATGAGGATTCCACTGGTTGAGAGTCGTACGAACAGGTGTTACAATGTAGTGTTGTGTTAGTTGGGGTTGAGATCATGGATGATATGGTTTTGGTGTCTTGAGGAATGAGTTTGAATAATGAGAATGTTCAGACGGCCTAACGCTGAGATGAACCTTAGGGTTGAGAGACAGTCCAGCGATTGTGATCTAGGTTCAATACATTATTGTGTAATGAAAGTCGGTGGAAGAAGAGGAGTGTGTAATAGTGGGTTTTGGTGTTATTTGTGATGAGGAGAAGGATACATGTTGGCGTTATGCAAGGGTTGGTAGGATAGTGGAATTTTGATGTGGGTTAGTGATGATTGGATGGTGTGATATTTATGTGATGAGGTTTGATGTGTCAGGGGTGGCTGTGTTAAATTAGGAAGTGATTGTGAAGAGCATGTCTGTGAGTGATGGGACTTTGGTTGGTGTATTTATGTAGATAAAGGGTGGTGAATTCATGTATAATGAATCAGTGATTGGTTGTGACTTAGCCATGGAGTGGTTGTTGTTTTATGGTGTTTTGTCCTTTGGTTTACGTGATGAGTGACAGGTGTGGGTGTGTTGGGGTATTTGTCGGAGCCACTCTTACAATCCAGCACCTTTGCGTAGGAGTATTTATTGCATATGATGCACATTGCAGAGGCATGCCTGTTGATGTGTGCATGTTTTGATTTAAAATGACGGTTAGATTATTATAGGAACCAATGAGAGTGTCACACAGGCAGCAGTGAAATTGTTTTCCAGGAAGGTTCTGACGATAGAACAGACTTGCAATCCGATGGAATGACTGGCTCGTGTTTTGGCAATGTGGACTCCCAGTCCATGTTGGTCAGTTGTGGTAAATTCACAGTGATTGCATTGAAAGTTCTATCGGGCTGCACATACTCGCGATTAGAAAACGATAGCAACGGAGATAAGCCAGTATAATGATGTAGAATAAGATGGGGAATTCCCTGATCGCATCGATATATGCAAATTTCGGATTTTAAATTCGTAACCGTAGCAACCGATATACAAACGGGCCTTTCTTTTCAGATGTACTGTGAAACGACGATAATCTCCGTTTTTATACTTCGAAGAAGATCTTGATCAATGATATGATGACGATAAAGCAGGATTTAAGGTAAAAATTATATAGATTCCAATAAATCTTGAAGAAAAACGGCGATTTCGTTTATAACGCGCGGTGTTTTAAATTCCGTCGTTGAGATAATGTACTCACGCAACAAATAAAAAAACGTTGATTCTCCACAAGTACAGCACGTATAGTTGCCAAACTTTCCAAAATTGTTGAGAAATTGCCAAGGAATCTTCTTGTATAAATTCCAGGCGGTAAAACTTTATGAAAACTCCAAAAACTTGAACGAAGTAATTCCCGTTAGTTGAATTAATTAAAATTTGCTGTCAATCCAAACTTCGTGATAAAAAACAAAAATTTCTTCTTTAATACGATGTCCAGGTGAAAAATAAACTTTATGACAAGAAAGATAACAACTTTATCATATTTTGATACCAAAATTCATAGGAAAATGTAGAGTTTAACTACAAAATTTTCCAAAAACCTAGAGCGAAAAATCAGGTACCGGCGTACTGCAACTACACTTGATCTTAGCCAAAAGGCCGAGAAGCGATACAGAAGAAGAGCTTTCGCCATTTTTCACTCTACAAGTTGCATGAGAAACACACGGTTCTATTGTATCTTTTCGCGTAGAAATCATGCAACAAATGAAAAAAATCAAGCAGTACGGATAACGAAGGAATCATCCTTTACTACAATCGTCATGTCAAGCGTTCTTTCTAATCCAATGTACACCTGTTCGTAAAGAAGAACATGTTTGAAAATTCGCGCGTAATGCCGCGAAATGCGATCGTTTCATATGACGTAGGAAGCACGCGATGTCTGTCGCGAACTTGCTGCAGACGTGCTTTCTCATTGTAAAACAAACGCTTTGTGCTTGTGGGCGATAATGATTCGCATTGTATGCAAGTGCTGCAATGTCAACAAGGTCATGCTTCATGAAATCGGCAGACAAGCAGCTCAATGAACGAATTTTACACTACGAGCCGTTAAATGTCAGTGATACATAGAAATAATTACTATAAAAAGCTAAACAAACGTACGACTAAGTAAGAAAAACGTTCGCAATGCAATATCATTACTGTTAACGTCGACGATACATATTATAATTTGTATACTTTCATAATGTATATGCCGTCCGTCAAAATATACACACACGCCGGCCGTTTACGTCGTTGTTAAGTACAAGTAATTTATGTCAAATACAAGTAATTTATTCTTGCTAATAGCTGATATAAATTTCTCCTGCATCTCGCTATGCATTTTGGGATAGGTCAGTAAAAAATTTGGCAGCATGCAACCTAACCCCGAACGAACAACGAATTTATATATGTCCCAAAGCGTGGCATACACAATTGACGGACGAAAGGCCCTCTTCTCTATTGTGTTCTATTTTATTTGTTCTTTTCTCCGCTTCTTCCTCCCATCGTGAGAAACGAAGGGGACGAGCGCGAACGCAGGTCCCCACTACCAGAAATTATACGCTCGAGTTACCCACGTTAGGGGTAATCGCAGGAGTCAACCCAGTCGAAGTGCAATGAAAGGGCCTCATCCTGAGAGGACCTCCTAGCTGATCAAGGTGCCTCTCGCGTCAGGTAAGTATGCTCGAACGACGCACGGCGAGCATACTTTGTACGCGAACGTACGCTCTGTGCGACACGGTTGCACCCTCCCTTTACTTTTCACTACTTTTGCACTTGCAACGTACCGTCTGACGGCCTTTATTGTCTTCCTTTCCGACGGCGACGACGTCTTTTCGTCTTTCGCCGACTCTGTCGAAAAGAGACGTATGTTATTTAGTTAAATGTTAAACAGTTCGTTTCTCGGTTAGTTAGTTACAGACAAAATAAATTCGCTTAGCTATTTGATTTGCTGGCTGTTTTGTTTGTTTTTTCGTTTGTTTAAAGTAAATGTGTTTCCCTTCCGCGAAGGGAAATGGGCCGAACTCGGAGGTAGTGCAATACCGAGACAACCGTGGCCAGGGCGAAGCAAGCTCCAATCCCATGGCCGATATCCAAAAATCAGTTTAATATAAGAGTCGGGCATTGCCCGACATATCAGATATTAAGCTGATAAGAACAGAAATTAACTTTATTTCAATTGAAAGTTTTACAAAGAATATAGGTAGTTACATTTTAGCATAGAATAATTTAATAACATAGGTAATGAAGGTAATTGTAAATATTGTACATATAAATGTAAATATTGTTTAAATGTAGAAAAGGAAATGAATCATTAGAATAGAATAAAGAAGAGAATGAAATTATAGTATTTATGAGAAGAAAGAAGATGTGGCTTTAATGCACAGTGAGTAGGGTGGGCAACAGGGGAATGGGGATTATTTATTTAAATTTAATTACATTGAATCTTTGTGTTTTCCTCAATATTGTTTTTCTTAAATATTGTTCTAGCTTGTTCATCGAGGAATAGTTCAATATCTTCAAGTAACATTTTAAACACAGGTAATGAAAAATAATCAGACAGAATTTCATCATCAAGTACACTCTAAATAATCATTTATTACACAGAAAATGTCGTTTTCTGATCTATGAAAACGAGAGTTTTGCATATTTGGCACATATAGTATCCAATTTTGCATTAGCTGGAGGACAGTAGAGTAGGTGCGATATAGGTTTTGAGTGGTCACTTTTTTCTTGCATAGGCTTACATGTTCCTTCAATATCCATTTGTTCGGCTTGTGAATGTCACAAGCAGACCGCTGGGTGGTATTAAAGGAGATGGAGTTGGAAGGTAAGATCCATCAGCAATATCAAAATCAGGAGGTGAGTCGCTGACATGGGTTATGATGTTGTGTTGAGATGATTTATCAGAGATGCAGATTAACGGAGAAGAGGGATGATTGTAATATCGTTTCTTTTCAGTGACCAAGCTGCATGATGGTATATTAACAGCTGTATCCCTTTGGCCGTGGATGTAGTTCTGAGAGATGTGGAAGACTTAGAAGGTTGTGAAGATGGATTAGTTGTGGGAGATGAAGTAGTTTTGTAGTGACAGGAGAAGTGTTTGTGTTAGATGATTGTAGTTTGTTAAATATCTTACTACATGTAACAGTTGTATTAGGTTTGAGGATGGTGGATGGGTTGGTGGGGAAAAGCTTGAGGAGAAGAAATAGGTATTTTGTGAGTGTGAGAGAGAGTCCTTTGTTAGTTGAGTCATTAACATGTATTGTGTTGTGTTTAGGTTTGTCTCTTGGGTTTAGTTTGAGCAGATGGAGTATTTTTCCTATTATGAGGAAAAGTACCTTATGGTAAGGAGTGTATGGAGGAGGAGAGGATTTAGAGAGGAAGCAGTAGGATTATGGAAGAGTTTAATGGGAGTTGTAAGATTAGGTGGTGAATATACATACGATTTAGCTGTTGATGTATAGCCAGAATCAGGAGTATGGAAAGGTAAGTTGGTAGATGGAGTTTTAACTTGTCCAGGTAGATTAGTAGCATCCGAGAGTAGTTTCCAATCAAACTTGAAAGATAGTTTCTCTTCAGCAAAGGAGGAGGACCAGGTAGGTTGTACCAGGTTATAGGATGATAGTATGTTGAGTAGAGATTTAGGAAAATCATGAGAGCTGATATTGTTCTTTTCAACATACCATTCTATTTTAAGTTTAATTGATTTATTAGATATATTAATGTCCCATGATGGAGGAGAACCGATGCCAAGATTTTCGACAATGATGAAGCTTGAAATGGTATAGGATAATAAGATTTGCCAATAAAATCTTTTGATTCGATGAAATTCTTAGGTGAACAAGGAGTTGGACGCCATTAAAAAGTGGAAGCACCATCGCGATAATATAGTTCCGATGATTTTCGCAAAAAGATGAAAAAATAATTACAGTTGTACCAAAATGCCGTAGAAATGTAGAGAAGGTTACCAGGACACGTAGATACCAATATAGATAATCCACGATGAATTTAAGAACAAAAACTTGAACGAAGACGTAGCACGTGGTAAACAAAACAACCGCCGATCGCACCAATTTATAAACTTTGATTGCTCGCGAAAAATCGACCAATTTCAACCAATATACTTTGAAATGATCGCTAGACTTTTAGCTACAAGATTTTACCATGAAATAGGCCGATGAACAATTTTGACGAAGAAAGATCAAAATTTTGAAGAGCACCGCCGAAACGTCATGTAAGCTACACTTGATCTTAGCCAAAAGGCCGAGAAGCGATACAGAAGAAGAGCTTTCGCCATTTTTCACTCTACAAGTTGCATGAGAAACACACGGTTCTATTGTATCTTTTCGCGTAGAAATCATGCAACAAATGAAAAAATCAAGCAGTACGGATAACGAAGGAATCATCCTTTACTACAATCGTCATGTCAAGCGTTCTTTCTAATCCAATGTACACCTGTTCGTAAAGAAGAACATGTTTGAAAATTCGCGCGTAATGCCGCGAAATGCGATCGTTTCATATGACGTAGGAAGCACGCGATGTCTGTCGCGAACTTGCTGCAGACGTGCTTTCTCATTGTAAAACAAACGCTTTGTGCTTGTGGGCGATAATGATTCGCATTGTATGCAAGTGCTGCAATGTCAACAAGGTCATGCTTCATGAAATCGGCAGACAAGCAGCTCAATGAACGAATTTTACACTACGAGCCGTTAAATGTCAGTGATACATAGAAATAATTACTATAAAAGCTAAACAAACGTACGACTAAGTAAGAAAACGTTCGCAATGCAATATCATTACTGTTAACGTCGACGATACATATTATAATTTGTATACTTTCATAATGTATATGCCGTCCGTCAAAATATACACACACGGGCCGTTTACGTCGTTGTTAAGTACAAGTAATTTATGTCAAATACAAGTAATTTATTCTTGCTAATAGCTGATATAAATTTCTCCTGCATCTCGCTATGCATTTTGGGATAGGTCAGTAAAAATTTGGCAGCATGCAACCTAACCCGAACGAACAACGAATTTATATATGTCCCAGCGTGGCATACACAATTGACGGACGAAAGGCCCTCTTCTCTATTGTGTTCTATTTTATTTGTTCTTTTCTCCGCTTCTTCCTCCCATCGTGAGAAACGAAGGGGACGAGCGCGAACGCAGGTCCCCACTACCAGAAATTATACGCTCGAGTTACCCACGTTAGGGGTAATCGCAGGAGTCAACCCAGTCGAAGTGCAATGAAAGGGCCTCATCCTGAGAGGACCTCCTAGCTGATCAAGGTGCCTCTCGCGTCAGGTAAGTATGCTCGAACGACGCACGGCGAGCATACTTTGTACGCGAACGTACGCTCTGTGCGACACGGTTGCACCCTCCCTTTACTTTTCACTACTTTTGCACTTGCAACGTACCGTCTGACGGCCTTTATTGTCTTCCTTTCCGACGGCGACGACGTCTTTTCGTCTTTCGCCGACTCTGTCGAAAAGAGACGTATGTTATTTAGTTAAATGTTAAACAGTTCGTTTCTCGGTTAGTTAGTTACAGACAAAATAAATTCGCTTAGCTATTTGATTTGCTGGCTGTTTTGTTTGTTTTTTCGTTTGTTTAAAGTAAATGTGTTTCCTTCCGCGAAGGAAATGGGCCGAACTCGGAGGTAGTGCAATACCGAGACAACCGTGGCCAGGGCGAAGCAAGCTCCAATCCCATGGCCGATATCCAAAATCAGTTTAATATAAGAGTCGGGCATTGCCCGACATATCAGATATTAAGCTGATAAGAACAGATACTACACTTGATCTTAGCCAAAGGCCGAGAAGCGATACAGAAGAAGAGCTTTCGCCATTTTTCACTCTACAAGTTGCATGAGAAACACACGGTTCTATTGTATCTTTTCGCGTAGAAATCATGCAACAAATGAAAAATCAAGCAGTACGGATAACGAAGGAATCATCCTTTACTACAATCGTCATGTCAAGCGTTCTTTCTAATCCAATGTACACCTGTTCGTAAAGAAGAACATGTTTGAAAATTCGCGCGTAATGCCGCGAAATGCGATCGTTTCATATGACGTAGGAAGCACGCGATGTCTGTCGCGAACTTGCTGCAGACGTGCTTTCTCATTGTAAAACAAACGCTTTGTGCTTGTGGGCGATAATGATTCGCATTGTATGCAAGTGCTGCAATGTCAACAAGGTCATGCTTCATGAAATCGGCAGACAAGCAGCTCAATGAACGAATTTTACACTACGAGCCGTTAAATGTCAGTGATACATAGAAATAATTACTATAAAAAGCTAAACAAACGTACGACTAAGTAAGAAAAACGTTCGCAATGCAATATCATTACTGTTAACGTCGACGATACATATTATAATTTGTATACTTTCATAATGTATATGCCGTCCGTCAAAATATACACACACGCCGGCCGTTTACGTCGTTGTTAAGTACAAGTAATTTATGTCAAATACAAGTAATTTATTCTTGCTAATAGCTGATATAAATTTCTCCTGCATCTCGCTATGCATTTTGGGATAGGTCAGTAAAAAAATTTGGCAGCATGCAACCTAACCCCGAACGAACAACGAATTTATATATGTCCCAAAGCGTGGCATACACAATTGACGGATTCTCTATTGTGTTCTATTTTATTTGTTCTTTTCTCCGCTTCTTCCTCCCATCGTGAGAAACGAAGGGACGAGCGCGAACGCAGGTCCCCACTACCAGAAATTATACGCTCGAGTTACCCACGTTAGGGTAATCGCAGGAGTCAACCCAGTCGAAGTGCAATGAAAGGGCCTCATCCTGAGAGGACCTCCTAGCTGATCAAGGTGCCTCTCGCGTCAGGTAAGTATGCTCGAACGACGCACGGCGAGCATACTTTGTACGCGAACGTACGCTCTGTGCGACACGGTTGCACCTCCCTTTACTTTTCACTACTTTTGCACTTGCAACGTACCGTCTGACGGCCTTTATTGTCTTCCTTTCCGACGGCGACGACGTCTTTTCGTCTTTCGCCGACTCTGTCGAAAGAGACGTATGTTATTTAGTTAAATGTTAAACAGTTCGTTTCTCGGTTAGTTAGTTACAGACAAAATAAATTCGCTTAGCTATTTGATTTGCTGGCTGTTTTGTTTGTTTTTTTTCGTTTGTTTAAAGTAAATGTGTTTCCCTTCCGCTGAAGGAAATGGGCCAACTCGGAGGTAGTGCAATACCGAGATAACCCGTGGCCAGGGCGAAGCAAGCTCCAATCCCATGGCCGATATCCAAAAATCAGTTTATTATAAGAGTCGGGCATTGCCCGACATATCAGATATTAAGCTGATAAGAACAGATACTACACTTGATCTTAGCCAAAAGGCCGAAGCGATACAGAAGAAGAGCTTTCGCCATTTTTCACTCTACAAGTTGCATGAGAAACACACGGTTCTATTGTATCTTTTGCGTAGAAATCATGCAACAAATGAAAAATCAAGCAGTACGGATAACGAAGGAATCATCCTTTACTACAATCGTCATGTCAAGCGTTCTTTCTAATCCAATGTACACCTGTTCGTAAAGAAGAACATGTTTGAAAATTCGCGCGTAATGCCGCGAAATGCGATCGTTTCATATGACGTAGGAAGCACGCGATGTCTGTCGCGAACTTGCTGCAGACGTGCTTTCTCATTGTAAAACAAACGCTTTGTGCTTGTGGGCGATAATGATTCGCATTGTATGCAAGTGCTGCAATGTCAACAAGGTCATGCTTCATGAAATCGGCAGACAAGCAGCTCAATGAACGAATTTTACACTACGAGCCGTTAAATGTCAGTGATACATAGAAATAATTACTATAAAAAGCTAAACAAACGTACGACTAAGTAAGAAAAACGTTCGCAATGCAATATCATTACTGTTAACGTCGACGATACATATTATAATTTGTATACTTTCATAATGTATATGCCGTCCGTCAAAATATACACACACGCCGGCCGTTTACGTCGTTGTTAAGTACAAGTAATTTATGTCAAATACAAGTAATTTATTCTTGCTAATAGCTGATATAAATTTCTCCTGCATCTCGCTATGCATTTTGGGATAGGTCAGTAAAAAATTTGGCAGCATGCAACCTAACCCCGAACGAACAACGAATTTATATATGTCCCAAAGCGTGGCATACACAATTGACGGACGAAGGCCCTTCTCTATTGTGTTCTATTTTATTTGTTCTTTTCTCCGCTTCTTCCTCCCATCGTGAGAAACGAAGGGGACGAGCGCGAACGCAGGTCCCCACTACCAGAAATTATACGCCTGAGTTACCCACGTTAGGTAATCGCAGGAGTCAACCCAGTCGAAGTGCAATGAAAGGGCCTCATCCTGAGAGGACCTCCTAGCTGATCAAGGTGCCTCTCGCGTCAGGTAAGTATGCTCGAACGACGCACGGCGAGCATACTTTGTACGCGAACGTACGCTCTGTGCGACACGGTTGCACCCTCCCTTTACTTTTCACTACTTTTGCACTTGCAACGTACCGTCTGACGGCCTTTATTGTCTTCCTTTCCGACGGCGACGACGTCTTTCGTCTTTCGCCGACTCTGTCGAAAAGAGACGTATGTTATTTAGTTAAATGTTAAACAGTTCGTTTCTCGGTTAGTTAGTTACAGACAAAATAAATTCGCTTAGCTATTTGATTTGCTGGCTGTTTTGTTTGTTTTTTCGTTTGTTTAAAGTAAATGTGTTTCCTTCCGCGAAGGGAAATGGGCCGAACTCGGAGGTAGTGCAATACCGAGATAACCCGTGGCCAGGGCGAAGCAAGCTCCAATCCCATGGCC